GTGACCTGACTTGCCTCATGACGATCAGTTGTGCCTTGACTAGACTCATGAATATCATTGGTGACTTGACTGAACTCAGGAAGAACAACTGTGACTAGATTTGACTCAGGAAGATCAGCGGTGACTAGACCTGACTCATGATGATCCACTGTGACTAGACTTGACTCATGACAATCAACTGTGACTTGACTTGACTCATGAAGATCAGCTGTGACTAGACTTGACTCATGATGATCAGTTGTGACTTGACTAAACTCATGAAGATCATCTGTGACTAGACTTGACCCATGACGATCAACTGTGACTAGACTTGACTCATGATAATGAATTGTAACCTGACTTGACTCATGACAATCAACTGTGACTTGACTAGACTCATAACTATCAGCTGTACCTTGACTAGACTCATGATCATAAACTGTGACTTGATTTGCCCCATGACTATCAGCTGTGACTTGATTTGAATCGTGACGATCAACTGTTACTAGACTCGACTCAGGAAGATCAATTGTGACTAGACTCGACTCAGGAAGATCAGCTGTGACTTGACTGGGCTCATGAAGTACAGGTGTGACTTGACTTGCCTCACGAAGATCTGCTGTGAGTTGACTTGACTCAGGAGGATCAACGGTGACTTGACTTGACTCGTGAAGATCAACGGTGACTTGACGGGCCGCTGTTGTATCCGCCATTTTGTGATCCGGCTCACCTGTCGCCGCCATTTTGTGAATGTAATCTAGTGCGGGGGTCATTACAGGAGTGAGTGCGGGATTGCATTCCTCCGTGATACCCACAGTGAATGATGAACCAACAGTCAACAAAGCATAGTCCATAAACTGAATGAGTGACGAACGCGGACCCTCTCGAATGAGCTTTGACTTAACCGGCTGATTAATCCCCTCGCAGAAAAAGTCTATCAACACACAATCCGGGAAATCAGAGTAATAAGCAATGTCGAGATACTCTTGAACGTAAGCCTTGCAGTGTCCATACCTGGCCAATGTCCACTTGAAAAGCCGCTGGATCCTTGTGTGGCCGAGTATTCTGTTACGGGGCTGACGAGACGTGAGAAGTGCGGATCCATGTGCAAAGCTTTATTGAGCAGAGAGGTCAGAAACACAGGCAGGGTCAAACAGTGGCAAACAGGTATATGGCGGGCAAGACACAAGAATAATCCTAGGGCGAGTTGACTTGACTCAGGAGGATCAACGGTGACTTGACTGGGCTCTTGAAGTACAGGTGTGACTTGACTTGCCTCACGAAGATCTGCTGTGAGTTGACTTGACTCAGGAGGATCAACGGTGACTTGACTTGACTCGTGAAGATCAACGGTGACTTGACGGGGCGCTGTTGTATCCGCCATTTTGTGATCCGGCTCACCTGTCGCCGCCATTTTGTGAATGTAATCTAGTGCGGGGGTCATTACAGGAGTGAGTGCGGGATTGCATTCCTCCGTGATACCCACAGTGAATGATGAACCAACAGTCAACAAAGCATAGTCCATAAACTGAATGAGTGACGAACGCGGACCCTCTCGAATGAGCTTTGACTTAACCGGCTGATTAATCCCCTCGCAGAAAAAGTCTATCAACACACAATCCGGGAAATCAGAGTAATAAGCAATGTCGAGATACTCTTGAACGTAAGCCTTGCAGTGTCCATACCTGGCCAATGTCCACTTGAAAAGCCGCTGGATCCTTGTGTGGCCGAGTATTCTGTTACGGGGCTGACGAGACGTGAGACGTGCGGATCCATGTGCAAAGCTTTATTGAGCAGAGAGGTCAGAAACACAGGCAGGGTCAAACAGTAGCAAACAGGTATATCGCGGGCAAGACACAAGAATAGTCCTAGGGCTAGCGTAGGTCGATGAACAGCAAACAGAATCAGAAGGGACAAGACTAAAGGGAGAAATCCAGGAAACCAGGCGAAGATCAGGAACCGAGAAAACAGGCAAGGCAAGACTTTAGCTGTGTCTCATTTAGAAGGCTGCACCCTCCGGAGGTCGAATCCTCTAGAGGTCGCATCCTCTGTAGGACGCATGTACGAAGTGTCCTCGCCATCCGTGAATCAGTGCAATGAATGATGGGATATGTAGTCCGGGGTGATGTGCAACAGTGTGTAGTGCGAGAGTCAATGAGTCAATG